CAACTCCCAGAATTCCCCAGCCAGCAAAGAATTCTGGGAGTTGAAGTCCTCCAGGCTTAAAGTTGCCAAGGTTGGACACCCCTGCTCTAATGAATAAGAGAGTTTGGAAGTTTCTGGCATATTTGAAATTCCTTGTTATTTTGGAGAGGTTTTTTTAAAACTGTATTTATCTTATATCAGCAGTTACAGACCTGTAGAAATAAGGTTGTGTTTTTGGCTTACTAATATTTAAAATGATACTTTTACCAATAGTGTGATAGTTTTACTAATTGTGATAGTACACAGATAGATTTTATGGCCTAATCTGCACTGTTCAATTTGTGCCCTGCATTAGCCAAAATGGAGAACTAGAGAGGATTAAGTCTAAGATGTTTTTTCACATTATATTTCTTCCTCAGACTCAACTTTCTTTTATCTGACTGCTGTCTTGTTTTGGTTCTTTTCTCTATTCCTTATTCTGAATCCCCATTATAGAAAATTATGTGCATTCTTCACATATTGTGAAAAATTTTGAGCTGGACAGTCTTGCAACCATCTCTTCTACGGTAGAAAACACCGTTCTCCAGATGATATTCCCATAATTTTCATTTCTAGATGGAATAAGAAAAAATAACACATTTCCTGCATGAATACAGAAGTATAATAGTGACAGAAAGTACCTTTTGGGATCTGAAATAGATACAAAGTGATCACATTTAGTGAACCCAACTGGGACTGGCAATAGTAATTAAGCAAAGTGGTTGTTAAATGAAAATCACATGACCACAGGTGTGATTATGATTTTACTTCAGGTTTTGTTTTACACCCAACGGATACAATACCAAACAGTTGGTTGAGAGGGAAGTTTCTGGAATTCGGCTAATGGAGAAACTGAGTAAAATGGCAAATGTGACAGACAAGGGCACTGCAAAAGTTATACAAATGTGTGCATTGTTTGCAAAGTTATTTTTTCATCACCATCATGATGGATAATAGAGAGAGATATATTTGTTTTGTTGATTAAAGCTAGAGGAAATGTCATTGCTTTCAAATGTAACTGGTTGTACTCAAGTGATGCTGTTTTGGGTTTTGTCTCAATCCAAGGAGCCATGTTTTATCACGAGTTCCAAGGTGCAGGCTTCCTGAGTAGTTTCATGTCTCTGTTTGGGTAAGTAATTTACTTCCAAAATTACACTCAAGTTCTTAACTATGTTAAGAGGAAGAACAAAGATGCAACAAATTCAACATAATGGTTCAAGTCAGTCTATAGTTACAGAGGGTAATCTGGGCTTGGCTTTTCTGACTACAGCTTCTCACGCTAGAGGACAGCTTTAATAAGGATCACATGTGGGTTTTATTTCGTTCAGTTTTAATACCATGTATGAATGGGAGTTTTCATCCATCAATTAAACTGGGCAAGCTAAGCATTATAAACAATTTAGGATACATTAATAAATAACAGGAAAGATAAATGTGAATAAAATATATTAAAATCACTAATAATGACACATAAAGCAAAAAGCAAATTACTGAACTACCAGGGAGATGCACATTTTTAAATCTTAGCCTCCTAAAGATATTGCTGTAGAAGCTAGGAAGGTTTCATTCCAAAAGATTTTCTCAAAAGAGACTCTGGCTACTTGCCCCTTGGAATTTCACAGCAAAGGGCAAGGGCTCCAGAACAATATCCAGCAAAGTATGTTTCTCAAATCCAGAACAATTCAGCAATTGTGGTTTAGAAAAAGCCAAAACACAAAACAAATCATAGTAAAACAAAACCAAAAATCACATAAAAGCTACTCAGGACAACTTTTCCACCTTTGAGCCGCTTCTTACCATATCCAGTGTTCCTCAGAGGTGAAACTCCATGAGCTTAACCAGTTGCAGGTAGTCCTCGGCTTATGACCATAATTGAGCCGAGAATTGTGGTTGTTAAGTCTTCATGGTTGTTACGTAGATTGCCATGTAACTGCACCCAATGTTGTGACCTTTTTTGTGATGGTCAAGTGAATGCCATTAATATCTTTAAGCAAACCTATTATATCTGAGGAATCTTTTTTTCAGGGAAGACCAGAGGCAAACCCTAGTTTCTGGCCAAAAAAAATCCAAAAATTGTGGTCACGTCACTGCAGATGCTGTAAATGCAGGCTGATTGCCAAGCACCCAAAATGTGATCACACGACCATAAGAGGGACAGTTGTCAGAACTTTAAAACAGTATCACAAGTAGCTTTGAGGAGGTTTGCTGTAACTCAGGTTATCAAACTGGCGCCCACAGACCAGATGCATCACAGGCAGGCCACGGCCACCCCAGCTCCACGAAGGGGAAAAACATCACGAAATATCACATGATGGCAACATAATCCCGCAAGTGTGACCCCCGTGCTGTAATTGAACAGTCACTAAATTATTGGTCATAAATAAAGGACCACTTGTAGTTCACCTTTTAAAAGTGCATCTCTGAGAAAAGAAGGTTTAAGAGCTTTTTGAGCTTACCAGCAACAGCAAGTGTACTTCAGTTATACAAAACAGTCTTGCCCTGTTTTGGTGGTATGAGAAGAACAGATATGACTTGAGTTGTATCATAAATTAACTGCATTCAGCCCATTGTTGTTTGAAGGCTTCCATTGTTATTTGAGGTAATGTTAGCTTATCCTAGTTTCTACCCTACGTGGCCTAGAAAAACTTGGTTTCCAAATCTTTCAGCAACAGAGAGAAGCCCATAATAAGCTCCACTGATTTGGGGCTTCATGTCCCATCACTCCCAGCCAGCATGGCCAATAGACTCGTGGGGGGATGTGGACCAAAACATCTGGTAGACAGCCGGTTGTTGTTGCATGAAAGTCACAAGTTTGACCACTCTTCTGCAGGTGTTCTCTGACATTTATTGGCGTTTCTATAATATCCCAGAACAGAAGCAAGGAACATTTGACAACATTTTATATAGACTGTGAACACATTCCTGGTAAGTCAGAGTCTGGAAATATTTTGTCTGTCATTCCTACTCGCACAGCTGAAAAACAACCATTAGCAGGAGGGCTGAAGAGAAAAACCACATCAGATATCTCTTCAAATCATCTTTAATAAAAATTACTTTTCACTTAATTTCTTTTCGTATTGCCAATGCATTTTTTAAAACAAAATTTTGAATTATTTCCATCCCGTTGCCATTCCCTATTACAGCAAAACAAAGTGAAGCCTATAGTGAGAAGCTTTTTAGAAGGAACATGTTATATATTTATAATTAAACATGTTAGACTTGATTTATCATATTTGCTCCAAGTATTTTTATTGTTATTCTAATCCCACAGGGAAGAAGAAAAGCAGCACAATACAGCCAGATTCAAATAACCCATCTTATGGTTCTTTATATAAAGAAAGTATCTCTCTCAAGACTCCAACCAAAGAATAAAAAGAAAATATATTTTTTAAATCTTCCATTTATGTGTTTTGCATTCACTACACTTCTCTCTTCTGCTAATTATGTATCAGATGATTATATCCTCACAGCTCCTGAGTTTTTCTCATAATCTTCCAGAATCCCTTGACTATCATACACTGCTGTGCAAGCCAGCAATGCTGATTGCAAGACCAGCCTGTCAAACTTGAATTGGGTATATCCCTTAGATCAGGGTTGTCAAACTCACGTTGTCACGGCGGCATCATGTGACATATCGGGACTTTCCCCCCCCTTTGTTAACCCGAGCATGGGTGTGGCCAGCGCGTGACGCATCCAGCTTGTGGGCCAGGAGTTTGACAGCCCTGCCTTAGGCCATTAATTATACTCCTTATTGTCTGCAATTCTTGGGCTTAGACAAATTGGCCACAGGGTTTCCAATCGCTAGAGTTGTGCAAAAGGTCTTGTGGACTGCCATTTCATGAAAGTAATGGGAAAAGAGTAAGTCAAAATCTTGTCCGAGCTTATGTTGGCAAGAATACATGTTTCTGCTGCAGTGCAATTCATCAGCTAATTACAGTTTAAAAGTTATGTCAAATGAAATAAAGCAGACCTACTCCTCAGTGCTTTCTAGTTTACCTTACAATGTTCTCTAAAGTTGGCCACTTGAAGATGTGTGGACTTTAACTCCCACAATTCTCCAGCCCGCATGACTGGCTAGGGAATTCTGGGAGTTGAAGTCCACACATTTTCAAGTGGCCAAGGTTGAAGAACAATGCCTTATAGCAAGGCTGACAAACTTCCGGTCTACAGGCCGGATGCATCACACACTGGCCACGCCCATGCCTGGTTTAGCGAAGGGGCGGAAAGTCACAATACATCACATGATGACACCATTAGGACATGAGTTTGATATCCGTGCCTTATAGTATTTAGAATTTAGTATTTAAAAGGAAGACTTTCAACAACATTTTTTTGCCTCCTACATTATTGAAGTGTAACATGCAATTTGCAAAACTATTTGCAGCTCTTCCTGGTAGTGATTTTTGTTCCAATTATGTGCTCATCAACAGCGGTGGACAAACACTATAGCAGCAAGTAGATTCAACTCAAGCAGCTGATGCTTGTTCCAGGAACTGAACTTTGTAACTTCAAAATTGGCAAGTAAATATACAGATGTTGGTAACTAAGCCGAATACACTCAGTTTCCCCCCCCCCCTAATGGGACTTAGAGGAATTTAGGGCTTGGCTTAATCACCGAAGCAAAGGCCATGTGCCACTTCCCACAAGCATTAAAACTGCAGCAGACCATATTCACTGTCAAGCCAACTATTCAGTCATTTTCTCAATTATTTCCCAGTTTGCAAATATACTGCAATCTTTTAGCACCAATAGATTGTCATTTACAAAACTGACCAATTGTGTATATAAATGCATGGACATGTACACACACACACACAATAAATTGGGAGTATGGCTCAAAGGTCTGAATAAGTTATCCTCCAAGTCTGGATATTTGCTCTAATTATGCTTTGTGTGCTTTGGCCAAAGTGGTGCCTTCAGATGTGTTGGGTTTCAGTAACTAGAATTTGGGCTGGGAATTGGTCCAGAATCCAAGCACATCTGAAGGGCACCAAATTGGCTTCAGCTGTGCTCTGTTGCATCGCCAACTCAATGTTACTGACTCACCTCTTTGCACTGATGCCATACAATAAATCTCTCAGATAATGAGGGAGGCCATGGCTATGTCAAGCAGCTTGCTCTGCAAAAATTAGAAGTTGATTATTGTCTGATAATAGCCTGCTTGCTGAAATTATTTTCACAAGGAACAGAAGAATTGACAATCATTAATTTACAGGCATAATTTACCTGTGGCTGATTATTCCTCTTATCTTTTTCATGGCTAAACCTCTCCCAAAGGAGAAAGTTACAACATGTTAGATTATTCAAATATGTAACACTCTTTCCTATGTTAATGTACAGCTACAGTTTTGATGCTATCATTTTTGATCCAAATTACCTTTGTTCAAAAACAGTTAAAGGATAACCTAGTACCTTGACTAATTTTGACAAATAAGCATCCCTAAGTTTTTCTTTGTGTTTCCTGCTTTTTTCCTGTGAACATTTTTTCTACCTAATTCATGCATAATTGATTGTATTTATGGATACAGATTGTTTCAATTAGATTTATCAGTTGAGGTGCAGCATACAGGCAGATGACAGATGTTGCTTTAAGCGGCTCAAGCAGCCTAGATGGGCACAAGATTGAACAGATCTCCTGTTTTAAATATTTGGGAGTCATCCTTCATTCTGCTGGCAGTAGGAAAGCCTACAGCAAGGGTCTTCAAACTTGACAACTTTAAGACTTGTGGACTTCAACTCCCAGAATTCCCGAGCTAACATGACTAGAGGAGGAATTCTGGGAGTTGAAGTCCACAAGTCTTAAAGCTGTCAAGTTTGAAGACCCCTGGCCTATGGGGACTGCATTGCTGAAAATGCACAGAGAAGCTCATCAACCCTCCTTAAATTCCTTTAGACAAGAGGTGGCCACCATATACCTGCAGTTTTCAAATTCTTCAAGGCCAACCCAATAGCTCTTCTTTAAGGTGTTCAGCTGGAGCTCTTCTCCAATTGCATAATTAGAACTTGTACAATCCAAATATCTAAGACCAGCTGGTTAAGACCCAAAATGTGTCTCTAATGCCACCCTGAGACTAGGGATAGGCCTCATAAAAGTGAAAGCTAGAATGTGGGTAACCATACTCAATTATTGGCTCAGATTATCCTTTTTGCCCCTTTAGCCATGCCACATTAGGTGCACTAACTATGAGTGATGATTTTTTTTTTGTCCATATGCAAACAGGCAATGGCAACTAGAATCTTGTCCTTGGACTTTTCTCCAGTCTTCTACTCAGAATGGGATATGATCAGACCAAAGTATTCATCAACAAGGTGTAGCAGACACAGAGTGCCCATCAGATCTAGCCAGATTCCCAGCCTTAATTGCCAGTGAATCCAATAATATTCCACCACCTCCCCATAGTGTACTTAAGTAATCTCAAAGTATCTAGATACCAGAGGACCTAATGACATGCTCTTCTCCTTAGCTGTCCTTGAAGGCTGATATAGGAAGGTTCCAGTGGTGGTATTCAATTTTTTTTTACTACCGGTTCTGTGGGCGTGGTGTGGTGTGGTGTGGCTTGGTGGGTGTGGCATGGTGGGTGTGCCAGGGGAAGGATATTGTAAAATCCCCATTTCCTCCCCACCCCACTGCTTTCCAGCTCCATTCTCCTATGCAGGGCAACGAAAGAAGACCTAGCCGATCAGCTGGGATTCAGGAGGCAGCGAATAGATGGGGGCAGGGCCAACCAAAGGTGGTATTTTCCGGTATTTTCCGCTACCGCTTCTCCAGAACTGGCTGAATACCACCTCTGGAAGGTTCCCTACCTGGAGAGACAAGGCTCCTGAAACCACAGAGCATGTGTTTTTCCAGTGCCTGTGTTACAGAACCATCTGTACTAGCCTCATTTCACCATTACTGCACCAATACTCTGGGCACAAAGAGCAATTCTATACCTCCCTGTTACTTTCAGATACTAATCCTGCTATAACATAGAATGTTGCTAGGTTCCACACAGCAGCCTTTAAAATCTGTCAGATCCGTGGTTGCCAACCAGTGGGCCGGGGGACCACTGGTCGTCTGTGAGGAAATGTTGGTGGTCCGCAGAGAAATGTCCCCCCAAAGCAATTAATCCAGGCTGCGCAGGAACACAAGGCTGCACTGCCCACATGGCCCACCCACCCACTGGCCCCCACCCTTCAGTCGAGTGCAAATCTTACCTTGAGTAGACTCATGTGAGCTGGAACCGAAAGGTAAGACCAATGGCGGGGGAGGGAAATCTGCCTCGCGGTGGCTTTCTGATGTTGGTGGGAAATTGGTCCCATATTCCAGAGCTGCAGTAGTCACAGGACTGGCCCTTTGGTCATCCCGGAGCAGCTCCTCCAGTCCATGGCAGGCCTGTGCACCCGGGTGGAGGAGCAGCTACTCCGGGATGACCAAAGGACCAGTCCTGTGACTACTGCAGCTCTGGAATATGGGACTGACTTTCCCACCTATGTCAGGAAGCCACCGTCAGTCAAAATTCATATTAGTGGTCCGTGGGATTTAAAATGATGAGTTTGGTGGTCCCTGAGGTCCAAAAGGTTGACGACCCCTCTGTCAGATGACGGCTGGTGCAATAAACCAGGCTAAATGAGCACCTAGTTTGTCATAAGAGAATGCTCTGTAATTTGATATATATGTCACATACTAACCTTTATGGTCTCCTACACTCTTTTAATGCTGCTACCCCTCTTTTAAGGCTATTTTACTTTTGTTTCTCTACATAGTTTTTACTACATTTTTTGTTTTATATTTTTTTAGTTTTAAATTTTAGATTATGATGTACCTCTTAATTTTTTAACTCTACCTCATCATTTTTAAGTCCCATGACTATAAAAACAATAATGATTTTGGTTTGAGGTTGCTTCAACCGATGTCCCTGTATATCCTCGCCGACCTATCAATCGATTTTGTTCATTTGCTTTCCGCTCAAATAGACATGGATATGTGCATCATATTTGCATGCCCAGAGTACTTCCACGGTCATAGAAACATCAAAACTTCACAAGCCAGCTACTACCCAGGCTCTCTCTTGCAATCCTGAGCTCATCATCATCTCATTTTGATGCTCATCATTGTCTCATCCTGGACTATGGTTTGCCAGCTTTGTCATCAAGGGAAGCAAAACCTTTTCCTGGCTCATGTTCACACTTAGCATTTCAAGAACTGAGTTAAAAAAAAAAGCAGCAGTGGGGGAGCCAGTGGTGTAGGGATTAAAGTATAGGATGGGAACCTGGGACATGCCGGAGCATATCCTCATGTGTCCATGGAGAACACCAGGGTGGACCTTGGCCCTCACAAGTTTGTTGTGGAGGGATAAAATAAGTAGAAAACTAATGAATTCCCAGAAGAAGGGCAGGATATAAAAGTAATGCAAATTA